CTCTCCACGGGCAATAGCAGCCCAAGTTTTGGTGAACATGAGCATGGACAGTCCATCTGCAAGCTTGTGAGAAATGCATAGACCAATGGCAAAGCCTCCGCAATCAAACATATTGAGCTGGACACCGAGGGCAAATTCATTTGCAATATGCTCGTCCAGTGCAAATGGGATAAATTTATTGAGTTCATCAGGGACCAGATTGTTGAGAACATCATGAAGTCGGTAGTTGGTTACTTGAGCTTCAAGGTAGGAGATGCCCTCATCGTTGCATTCTACAAAATGGTCGTGGATTTTCACCCGCCCGGCTAGTGGGTAGAAAAGAGTTAAGACCTCGCCTAAGGACTTCTTAAGGTGTTTTGATGTTTCAGTAATGGTGGGTTGGGTCTCTCTGTTGAATTCATAGAAAAGAACAACAGACGTATATAATGGGGGAGATATTTGATCAAGAAAAGACAATTTGTAATGGCGAAGAGGGTTTGGGGTTGGAGAAGAGGGTTTGATGATCTCCTTGGAGATAACTTCAACTTGAACATTCATTTTCTCAAAATATTTGTTGATAGTTTGGTTCTCACTTCTGTGTGGTGGTGGGGTATATATTTTCACACAAACAATAGGCTGATAGATAAGTGTTTAGACAATTCAAATTATTGGGCAGTAACTAAGAATTAAATATCTACACATGCGTTGCGTGGGGATTTTAAATAATCCTTATATACATTGTGATTCAAATCTTCTCATCTTTATATAATAATTTGTTGATTTTTCAAATCTTGCAAATTTGTAATTCAAAACATGTATCTTGCAGAATATGAATAATCTCAGGTCATTGTTTCCCAGCTAAGCCTGCAATGTTCAAGCCAACCTGTGCCAAACGCATACGTAGCTGGAGGCAGTGCATGCAACCTCACTCCACATTTATTTAAATAAAAACATTACGTTGCACAGCATTCATATATAGTTGAGTACGTACGGATTATAAAAGCACTTTTCTAAGCAGGTGTTTCTTCGAGAAGCATTAATCTGAGGGTGGCACTGGCAGCTCCACTCTCCCTCGCTAGCTGCAGAATTGTTCTCAACTCATTGTTTGTTCCTCATCTACAACTCAACCCCAAATCCTTATTTGTTGATAGTGTGGTTCTCACTTCCTCCAAATCCGTATTTTCTTGCAATGTAGGCAAATTGATTTAAAATGTAAAAACATGTTTCTTGCAGAATATGAATAATCTCAAGTCATTTTTTTCCAGCTAAGCCTACAATATTGATCAAGTCAACCTGTAGGCTGTGCCAAACACATACAATTTGTGATGAGCATCTCCACCCAAAACGCATACAATATGTGATGAGCATCTACCTAGGTGGAGGCAGTGCAACCTCGTTACCCAGCATTTCAAATGTTTAGGCCTTATAGCTTTGAGATTGTTAGCCATTTATTTTTTTCTTGAGAAGCAATCCAAATAAACCCTAGCCCGACCCAAATTTCATTGGTTTGATTTGGGTTGGTCTCTTAACTATACTTGGTGGGATATGAGTGTGAAAATTTGCAGCCTGATTAAACCTGGATGGTTGATGGTTTAAGCTCGAACTTGATCAATATCAAAATCCAAAAGTGATCAAAGACTTTTTGGGATTTTTTTTGTTATCAATGAAATTCACAAAAGTGCATAACAAGGAGGTATGTGTTTGATGCGTCAAAAATTTCTCCTACAATCCACTGTAGCCAGTTCAGTTGTTCCCAAACCTACACGTGTGGAAGCGGGTTTCAGCACTCATTTGGAAATGTGCAATGGAAGCATCGAGATCAAACTTGGGTATGTCTCTAAGGCCATCTGTGCTCCGTCACACTGTAAACTTGCGTAAAAGGGTCACTCTGCTCTTGCCAGAAAACTTGGCTGGGAATTTTATGGGTTACTTTACATCAAGGGCTGAAGAGAGTTTGATAGATCTAAAAGACTTGGCTTCTAAAATCAGGAAAGGGAGCGAACAAGTGAAAGAAAAATATGCTGCAAAAGTAGGATTTGATTCTAAGGAGACATGTCAAGAGCTAGAAGACCACTACAGAGACCTGATAGATAATGAAGACATAGACAACTATAACTGCCCAAGCTTCTGTAGGTTTACTTTCTATGAAACTCATTTTGGATGGGGAAAACCGGCATGGGTGAGCTTCGCTAGTTTTCCGATTAAGAATGTAATTGTTGTCATGGTGCATAGGATGATCTTGTCTTTGTAATGTGGTTTAAAAATGTGATCCTTTATGATCGTTTTAGATGCTTTGGATCTTTCATATCCAAAGAATATTAGTGATCAATTGCAGGGACGGACCCAAGATTTGAAAATGACATGGGCTAAATTCAAGGGCAAAGTTAGGAATATTTGTAGGAGTAGGCTAAATATTGAAACGAATCCAATAATTGATATATTTGTTTAGACTGTGTTTAATGGATACCTTTTTTTTTTGGGGTAAATTATAAGCTCTTGTTTGTTACCAAAAAAAATTATAAGCCCTCTTTTTCCAATATATATATTTTCTTTATCATATTTAGAACTTTTTTTTCTATTCTACTGACATTTGAAACAGACAAAAATCTTGGAATTATTGATAATATTGTTGAAATATTTGGAAGGGATTGAAGGGAAACAAAGAAAAAAAAAATAAGAGGAAAGCTACACATGTACTGGGAAATATTTAGAAGGAATTGAAGTAAAAATAAAATAAAAACACAAATCTCATCCCAACACACACATCCTTTTTTTTTATTCTATTTCCTCCTTTCCCCTTTTTTATTCTATTTCTTTTCTCTCTCTCTCTCTCTCTCTCTCTCTCTCTTCTCTCTCTTTCTTTCCAATTGTTTATCATCTCCCCCTCTGTTTTTTATTCTTTTTCCTTCTTTCTCTCTTCCTTTTTCTTTCTTCTTCCTCTCTGTTCTTTCTTCTTCCTCTGTTCTTTCTTCTTGTCAGCCAGCTGATTGCCTAGGCTAGAGTACTAATTTAATCCCCAAAAAAAGAAGTTCCTTGGGCTATAGCCCAAGTTAACATGTTCATGGGACCGTCCCTAGATGGGAGAGAGGCGTGCATGCATGTACAGTTTTGGGTTTGCCATAGAGAGTATAGATTTATTAGTTTGGATAAAGGTGTCTTCAGGACGGTCATCATCAATAAAGTAACCAGTGCTGCTTAAAGCCCAATTTGGTGAGGTTTTGCGAAATGAAGAAGGTCCAGCCCAATCTGTGTCACCATTATGGATAGATTAAATCACACTCATCCAATACTATCGCGATATGATCACAACCAATTAATGGTGGTGACCAACTCTATTCTCAAAATTTTAAAGAGGTTGGTAATGTTGGGTAAATAATGTACAAAGGTTTCCACTTGTCACAGTATGGCAATGTTAGGTAAATAATCACAGTTTGACTAATTCATACTATAAATACTCTTACGGAAAATACTTGCATCATGCCCATGTAAGTAGAACTTGTACTCATGTCAATCACAGTTTGACATGTATGCAAATTTTGTTTATTTTTGTGTGTGTGTGTTTTTAATGAATTATTTTGCATGTATCAAACTGTGATTAATTTACATGAATGAGGCAAGCAATGTCCTAATCACAGTTTGACCCTAAACGGTAAAACGTATCTACATACAATTAATGATAATGGCCAACTAGCTATTAGCCTAAGAGTTTCCTTTTCACAATGCCAAAAAAGGTATCATAGCACTCTCAAGAGTTTCCTTTCACAATGTCAAAAAAGGTAGCGAGCGTATGGATTTTCGGTAGTGATTAGCCATAATAGCCAAGCAACTGCTAGGGACAGCTACCTGTATAGCACAGCCGCCTAATTGCTCCAGAAATTAACTCAACTGTCAAGTTGACTTAATTGTATCCCATTACAATTGGATAATCAACTACAAAATTCCACAAAAGTAGGTAGCTCTTCAATGTAGTTCTTCAATGTTTAAGGCAGGCCATGCCGCGGTCTAATATTCATGACATTATTTTCCACACTTTACAGAATCTACTATCAAGATACGGAGCATCAAGTTTGAAATCTGTAAGAGGCAGCCAGTAGTGGGGCTTTTGCCTACAAAGTAGTTCTAGTTATATTCAATTCAATGTAGAACCCGATCCATTATAAGGTAGACCAGCCCCATTGTTCCAATTCACAGTTTGTGCTTGCATCACTTGAAATCAAGGTTGAGCAAAATGGCCACAGAAATCAAGGTTGAAATCATCCAGAGGCAAACAGTTAAACCATCCTCCCCAACTCCTCATCACCTTAGAAATTATAAGCTCTCTATTTTGGATCAGATGGCCGTTCAAACCTACATCCTGCCAAAGATAGTGTAATTGAGAGAATAGAGATGAAAATGGAGAAGAAGATTTGCAGAGAATGCTTATCTGAAATTGTATTACTCACATGGAGAGTTATATGCAATTGTACATGGTTAATTATTAGTTACATCTAATACCACAAATCTTGGAAAGGTATCCCTAAAACATGGATATGTAAACATCCCTAAAACATGGATATGTAAACATGGAAAAGTATGAGAGATGGTAGACAAGCTTTCCTTGGTTTAGGGTCTTGTCTATGTCTTGTCTTTGTCTTAACTAACACTCCCCCTCAAGTTGGTGCAAAGATATCACGCATGCCCAACTTGTCAACTGAGTCATGAAAGACTTTACTTGATACGGCCTTCGTCAGAATGTCGGCAAGTTGGTTTTCCGAGTTTACAAACGGAAACTTAATTAAGGCTTAATAAAGAACACCGCCAAGTCCAAGACCTTGTTTTGTTTGACGGTGAGGCTTTGTTCATGCCTTTGATTTAGGAACAAGTGCTAATTAATAACCATTTGCTTGCCGTGAGGAGAGAACACTTCTTGATAAACTAAGTGTCCCCAGTTTTTATCAGCCTGCTAATTGTTGATTGCCCCTTTCCACTGATTCATGTGGGATGTGTTCATTCCATAAAACTTGACCATTTGGTTTCCCATCTGACGTGGACCAAATCTCCTTGGGTTTTTCAAATTGTCATGATACTTGAAAACCATTTAAAGATATTTGGTAAACAGGCCAATCCTACAGCAAAGTGACGAGCACCATTGTTTCCTCTTGCTGTTGGCAACAACAGTAATTTGAGCAAGTTGGACCCTTCAAGCTTTGGTTTGAGAATTTGGTCTTTGAACATATCAATATGCTGATCTCTTTAGCAGCCAGTAATTCAAATAGAAATCTCAGGACTTTTTTAATGCTTGTTTTGAGAATTCCTATAAAAAAAAACATGTGCACAACATCTTTAAACTGGCCCCAATTTTGTTGAGTGAAATTCTTGAAGCAAAAACTAAATTCGAGTCCATGTTGGAGACCTTGTGTTTCTTCAACAGCTTGTGCATAATATATATTTATAAGGATATTTCATCCGTACATGCTTCATCCCCATATTTGACTCATGGGAATTTATGGGTTTTCCTCCCAATATTTAGTTTGTGAGTTTTGTACTCGAAATGGATTCATCATCCAAGTTTGCTCAGC